TCACCTCAGCTCCTGGGGCTCCGGTGGCACGCGGCGACCGCCTGCCGGCCGAGCCTGCCGGCGGTACTGGACCAGTGGGACGCCGGGAAGGTAAACCGCTCCAGAACACGTCCGGACCCGGGAGGCTGTGTCGCGCAGAGCACTCTGGGATTTGTAGTTCTCGAGATGGAGCGAGCTGTGCCGCCCACGGTGCCTCTGGGTCAGGTGAGGCGACATGGTGCGCGGTGCCTTCTGGGGTTTGTAGTCTATGCCCAGTTCAGAAGGGGAGAGCAAGGAGTCCTTCCTTGAACCGTTTTCCTTTTTTAAAAAACTATTTTGCTTAAAGTACTGTCATGAGGAATCTAGAAAGGACTCTTAGAACTCAACAAGACAACCCAATTTTATTGTTGTTTTTAATCCTCACCCGAGGATATTTTTTCCATAGATTAGAAAGAGTGGAAGGGGGTAAGAGGGGTGGGGGCAGAGAGAGAAACAAACACCCATGCGAGAGAGACACATCAATTGGTTGCCTCCCGCAGGCGCCCCAACCCAGCCGGGGATGGAACCTGTAACCCAGGTATGTGCCCTTGATCAGGAATTGAACCCCGGACCCTTTAGTCTGCAGGCCGACACTCTAACCACTGAACACACCGGCAGGGCAAGTTTTAAAAATTTATCTTTATTGTTGAAAGTATTCCAGATGTCCCCTTTTTCTCCCCATTGACCTCTCCACCCTGCACCTGCTCACCTCCCCCAGGCCTTCACTGTACTGTTGTCCTGAACCCTGTTTTGCGCGGGCTGGTGGTAGGACTTGGACTCTGACCCCTGGGCAGAAGAGTAAGCCAGAAACACCTCGTGGGCCTAACATGAAAGGCAGAGGGTAGGGCTTAGGAAGTAGTACGTTATTCTTTATTGAGGTAATGGAGCCACATTTTGTGCACTTTCAACGAGGCAGCCCATTGTGAAGCTCTTTATATACGGTAGCTCATGCAATCTTTTTTTTTTTAATATATATTTTATTGATTCTAGAGAGGAAGGGAGAAGGAGAGAGAGATAGAAACATCAATGATGAGAGAGAATCATTGATTGGCTGCCTCCTGCACGCCCCCCACCGAGATTCGAGCCCACAACCCAGGCATGTGCCCTTGGCCGGAATTGAACCTGTGACCCTTCAGTCCGCAGGCCGACGCTCTATCCACTGAGCAAAACCAGCTAGGGCAGCTTATACAATCTTGACAGAATCTCCCCTGAGCTCCATTTAACAGTTAAGGAAACTTGGAAGAGAGCCTGGGTGCTTGCTCAAGGTCCTTCTAGGCACCTTGCATCAACTCTCCCCTTCCTTCCTCACCCTCTTCTTGGAGCCACCCCTGGGACTTTATGGGCAGATGCCTGCTTAGGGGGCCTCAATGGAGGTCTGAGAAGTATGGGCAGCAGCTGAACTGGTGGTAGGGGGACCAGGAAGGAGTCTGCAGATTGGAGTTCCCAGACAGCTTCCGTCCGGCCTCTCCCCACAGATGGAGGTGTTTCAGGCCCTGCAGCGGTTGCACATGACTATCTTCTCCCAGTGTTTTTCACCCTGCGGGAAGTTCCTGGCGGCTGGGAACAATTATGGGCAGATCGCCATCTTCAGGTACCCTTGCCTCTGCTCGCCAACACCCATTGGCTCTGGTATGTGGCCTTCCTAGGACTGATGCCCCCTGCTTCCGACTCAGACACTCTCTCCCCTTCTCCTGCAGCTTATCTGCTGCTTTGAGCTCCGAGGCCAAAGAGGAAAGTAAGAAGCCCATCGTGACCTTCCAAGGTGGGTGGCAGCCATTGAGTTTGACTTCGGGGACCCCAAGGTGGAGGAGGGGAGCAGGATAGAGTCCTTCAGTTTCTGCATTTCCATTTAGCCCACGATGGGCCTGTCTACAGCATGGTCTCCACTGATCGACATCTGTTCAGCGCTGGGGACGGGGAGGTGAAAGCCTGGCTTTGGGCAGAGATCCTCAAGAAGGTAAGGAGTGTGGAGCTGTGGGGCAGGGGCACTCGGGCACCCAGCCCCAGAGAGAGCCTTTGAGGTAATCCCAGTGCTTCTCTCCATGAAGGGCTGTAAGGAGCTATGGTGTCGTCAGCCCCCGTACAGGTAAGCCAGGGCCGCGTGGGCAGAGGGCACGTGAGGGTGCAGGTGCTGCCTCACCAGAGCTGACCCTGCTTTCTCTCCTCCAGGACCAGCCTGGAAGTGCCTGAGATCAACGCTTTGCTTCTCGTCCCCAAGGTCTGAGCCTTTTGTGACTAGGGCTCTACCCTGCCCTGTTTCTGGCCCAAACGAATACTTCCCCGATCCCTGTCCTTATTTGACACTGACGGGTGACCCCACCCCATCTTCCACCCTGCAGGAGAATTCCCTCATCTTGGCAGGCGGGGACTGCCAGCTGCATACGATGGACCTAGAGACGGGGGCCTTCACGGTGAGAGGGCCCTGGAGCCGGGCGGGAGGGGGAGGCATTCTTTCCGGATCTCATTCTGACACTGCCCCTCTCCCTGCAGCGGGCCCTCCGGGGCCACACAGACTACATCCACTGCCTGGCGCTGAGGGACCGGAACCCTGAGGTGCTGTCTGGTGGCGAGGATGGGACCGTGCGGCTTTGGGGTAAGGGAGTGACTAGTTGGAGAGGAAGGTGGTGATGAGGAAGGCTGGGGTGGGGTGAGTAGGGTACCTCTCATGGTTTTCCCTCACAGATCTGCGCGTGGCCAAGGAGGTCCAGACAATTGAGGTCTACAAGCATGAGGTGAGGGCCTGCCCCCCACACACCCTGTTCTCCCTTCTCCCTGGGCATCTCCTGTGTCTTGACCTCCTCCTCCCTTCCCCTCCTCCCTCCCAGGAGTGCTCCAGGCCCCACAACGGGCGCTGGATCGGATGCTTGGCAACTGACTCCGACTGGATGGTGAGCCAGGCGAAGTGCAAGATGGGTGGCAGCTCCGGGCCCTCCCAGCTGAGAGCCCGTGGCTTATGGTGGCGGGGGACCCTCGCCTCTCTGCCCAGGTCTGTGGAGGAGGCCCAGCTCTCACCCTCTGGCACCTCCGATCCTCCACACCCACCACCATCTTCCCCATGTGGGCACCACAGAAGCATGTCACCTTCTACCAGGACCTGGTGAGGCTCGCTGCCTTGACTTTGCGACCCCTGCCCGGTTCCTGTGTCTTAGTTCCTGACCCGGAAATCCTCTCCCTGCTCTCCACAGATTCTGTCAGCTGGCCAGGGCCCCTGCGTCAACCAGTGGCAACTGAGTGGGGAACTTAAGGCCCAGGTGCCCGGTTCCTCCCCAGGGCTGCTCAGCCTCAGTCTCAACCAGCAGCCAGCAGCACCGGAGTGCAAGGTGGGTCCTGCAAGGAGCTGTGGGGGTCCTGGGAGGCCAGGGGTGTGGGCAGCTCAGTCACCCCCCTCTTGCCTCCAGGTGCTGACAGCTGCAGGCAACAGCTGCCGGGTGGATGTTTTCACCAATCTGGGCTATCGGGCCTTCTCCCTGTCCTTCTGACCTCCCGAAGCTGGTGGGGCCGGAGCAGGAGGACCTGGACGAGGCCCTAAGCCCACCCTCTCAGGCAGGGAAGAGCCTGGGGCCTCAGCGAGCAGGGGTCGGAACTGTTTTTTCTTTTTACAAAATAAAATGTCAGGCTTTTCTTCCCTGTGCTTTCTTTTCAAGAATGAAGACTAAGTCGGTGCAATGAATTATATATTACTATCTGATCTGATACATAAATAACCACCCCACCCCTTCCCCGGAGCTTGCCAGGGCGCGGGGGCCTGGTGCCCTAGTGCTTAGAAAAGACCTATATAGATTCAAAAAATAGACAGCTCTGCCCCACCTGCCCCCCACCACCGACCTGGGGCCCCTGACCCTCAAAGCTGGGGCCTGCTCCCAGCGAGCCCCTGCCCAGCTTTCCTGGGTTGGGAGGGTACCAGCCCCCTTTGGAAGACAATCTGGGCCCTGTCGCTCCATTGCCCAGAAGAGGAAAGTGAGCCAGAGATGGCAGGGCAGGCCCCTTAGACGGCCCTCAGGTCCTTCGGAAGAGGTTGCTGAAGAAGCCCCCGGCATGGCCAGGGCGCCCCCGCAGTGAGAAGCGCGGTGCTGGACGACTCGGAGCGGACCCAGCGGCGCTCAGCTCCTTCTGGCGCTGGGAGCGCAGCTGCTGCCCAATCACCACTTGCATGTCGTCCTGCGGC